TGGAAGAATAATGCCAATAGTAGTAGAGGAATAAAGACTAGACTAGCCCATGGACATGGGTTTTTATTGTAGCTGGAATTCGTATTTTCCCTGAGAGTTCTGTTTTTTATTCTTTTGAGATAAGGGAAGTAAAATATACCATTTATAGTGTTTTACAAGGTACAAGAAGTCCTAAAGAAAAAAATTTTTACTTGGCTTTTGAATAGTCTACGAATCCCTTGTCTCTTACATTGTATCTTCCCTGTCTTAAATGATACTATTAATCTTGTGAAATGTTTTTGAGGATCAGCATGCTGATATATGTGTTACATTTACAGTTTGCTCTTGCTGCCTTCCCAGGAGTTGAAATCCTCACTCACCTTCTGTTTGGGATTGCTGTATCACCAGCGATGTGCTTTGTGACAATAGAATAGCAGCAGCAAGGAAATAGCACTTACTGCAAATGTGTATGTTGAACAGTTAATGATGGTAGAGACATTCTGGAGACGTTAGTGTCTTTTGATGTGCTTCAGTTTATTCTTAACTTAAAAAAAGTATTCATTTAATTTTTTAAAAAAGTTTTAAAGCCAGACATAATAAGTAGTACATGGCCTGTAATCTAAGCACTCTGAGACTGAGGCAAAGATAATTGCAAGTTTGAGGCTGGACTGGCCTACATAGAGTTCTATGTATGTCTTTTAAGATATTTCCCTATGTGTGTGGAAGACCTAATTAATTAATTAATTTTAAAATATGGTTTTTTTTAGATGATTCATAAGTTTAGTCAACTAATCTTTTTTTTCTTTAAAAAACCTAGAAAGTAGGAGCTGGGAAGGTGGCTCAGTGGTAGAGCGCTTGCCTTGCATGCATGAGGCCCTGGGTTCGATTCCTCAGCACCACATAAGCAAAAAGAAAAAAGCCGGAAGTGGCGCTGTGGCTCAAGTGGTAGAGCGCTATGCTAGCCTTGAGCTGAAGAGCAGAGGGACAGCACCCAGGCCCAGAGTTCAGGCCTCATGACCGGACCCCCCCCCCAAAAAAAAAAAAACCTAGAAAATAGCTTGTTTGAACTACATAATATATAGGCCTTGATTTATAATACTTAAATTTGCTTTTACATTTGGGCATACTTAAATCTTGTCCTTAATAAGCTATGACTTTCTGACATGAGATATGTATGAAAATTAATTGCCAAAAGGAGATGAGCTCTTCAGCTCAAGGCTAGTGCTCTACCACTTGAGTCACAGCGCCACTTCTGGTTTTCTGGTGGTTTCTTGGAGACCAGAGTCTCACAGTTTTTCCTGCCCGGGCTAGCTTTGAACTATGATCCTCAATCTCAGCCTCCTGAGTAGCTAGGATTAAAGGCGTGAGCCACCAGAGCCCGGCTCCTCACTAATTTCTTAACACATAAAAATCGAGTTTAATTTTGTTGTGGTGCCAGCCGGTCACGTGAACTCCGTAAAACATCTCATTTATACTGCCTCACACATCACTCACAAGACAAGTTCCCACAAAGGCCTGTTTTGTTCTACTGTGATCCACCCTAAAGAAACCAGTTTCTAAACTATGCAAGGCTTTGTAAATCAGGATGAACTGGTCAGAAGTGGGATACAGAAACAAACAAGAAACCAAATAATGCTTCCTAGTTAACCAGGTAGTTAATGAGCAGAGTGTGTTATATGTCATAAAATTTCAGGGAATGAAATGATCTGCATTCTAAGAATATTCCCTCTAAGAACTTTATATCACATTCATCTTGGAATTATAGTTCAAACTTATTGACCTAGTATTGTTGAGAAAGTGTAAGTGGTGCTTTTAGTAAAGTTTCTAGACAACACAAGGGACCAAGATCAATGATGGGCAGCACACTGTGCTTGTGTTTCTTAGCCCGTACTTTTTTTTTTTTTATTGTGATAATACAGTACAGAGGGGTTACAATTACATGGGCAAGATAATGAGTACATTTCTTATCAAGTGTTGTTGCTTCCTTCTTTGTTTCCCCTTTCCTTGTCTTCCCTTCCCCCACCCCAAAGTTGTAAAGTTTGTTTTCAACATAACGACTTGTACATCTCATTGTTGCAATGGGTCCACCTGTATCCCTATTTAAACGATTTGTTTTTCCCTTCCCCTCCACAAATTATACCAGCATCAAATACAAATGAAGGCAGGGCTTATACCGTGGGGGAGGGACATACAAAGCAACAAAGAAATCATCTTATAAATATGTTAGAAACAATCGCAAGAAAGAAAAAACATTTGAATCCTTATCTTGGGGTTCATTTCACCTAACATCAATTTATCTGACCTTTTCTGTTTGTCTCAGACATATACTAGTTATTGCAAATTAGGGAAATCAT